GGGGGGGGTGTCGGATCCTAAAGGGGGAGGACGAGGAGGAGGTCCTCCTCCTCCTCCTCCTCCTCCTCCTCCTCCTCCTCCCTCCTCTCCTCTCCCTCCTCCTCCTCCTCCTCCTCCTACTCCTACTCCTACTCCTATCCTTATTCCTTATTAGAATATACTCCTACTCCCCCCTCAGGCCGGCAGATAGCGGGCGCATCCGGGTGGTCCCATCCTAACCTGTAAAAAAAAACAATACAAAATCAACATTTTTCTTATTTTTTCCTCTCGACATGGACGTCCTGTCGTCCACGGCGATAATCCATTGCAAAAAATACCACAAAGAGCACACGCGCGCGTTCATGTCAGAATCCTACCGAACACCGTGTGTTTGCAAGCATTTCAACATAAAAACATCAAAAACCCAATGCTTTTTTTCACAAAAAAATGTACAAATTTCCCGCCCGGGCTCTCTTGCTGAAATCATAGGAAAACCATAGGAATCTTAAGAATTCTGTCAAATCCAGCGATTTCACGTCATCGCGCGGTGCACTCGCGATGCTCTGTCATGCACCCAGGCCGCGAATCCTGTGCAAAAAATACACAAAGAGCACACTCGCGCGTTCATGTCAGAATCCTACCGAACACCGTGTGTTTGCAAGCATTTCAACATAAAAACATCAAAAACCCAATGCTTTTTCACAAAAATGCTTTGGGGTGTCCTGTCAGACCGTCGGGCTTCCTCCGGCCACCTCTGGCTTCCTGCGGTGTACCGGGCCATTCTCGACTCGTCTGGCAATGCGTGCGCGGCATTCAACACGCGCTCGCCAGTTCCCGTCGGCAACCGCCATCGCGGCCGCATCAGCTGTACCAAACCGGCTGGCCGGTGTGACTTCGGCCCCCAGTTGTGCCAGCTTTGCTTCTTATGTTGTGGGAGGGCGGGTGGGACTGGGCATGCCATGCTTGACTCGCTCGAGCTGGCTAGCTTGACTCCTACTCCTACTCCTACTCCGCCGCCTTATCTTTTTCCTCGTCCAACTGATGCTGGTCCTTCTCCTCCGCTCCGCCTTCTCCTCCTCCTGCTGTTCCTCCACCTCTTGTTCCTCCTAGTCGTTTTACCAGCGGAGCAACCCACCCGCATCGCCAATCTGGCTCCCACAGTTTGCCCCGGGAGCCCCGATTCGAGTATTCTGACCATTTCGTTGCGGCCTCGCTGTTTCAGTCTGATCGCGATGCGATTCGCTCCAACAACGTCAGTCGCAGCGCCACGACTTCGCACCACCAGCAGCAACACCCCGCCGGCGGCCACCGCCTACAACGGCAATGTGAGCGCCACGATTCGCACCACGGGTCGCACCAGCAGCAGCGCTCCGACCACTCCGAGTCACCAGCGCCGTATCACTGTGGCCTATGGGGCTTGCAATACAGTCTCAACGCTAAAAGATGGACCACGTTGGGTTTCCAGGGTCTCTCGTTCCGGGGCCTTACACCTATGTCTAGGTGGGGGGACCTATTCGTTACCGAAAAGCTCTCCGCGGCCAGAGAAGCCCCTTCGTTCAGTGTTTCGCGCTCCTCATGGCCTCATGGTAGCACACCCGCTGCAGCAGCGCCGCCCCGGACGCTTCACATAGGGCGGTCTGCAGTCTGCACCACCGCGTGCTACTCAATCCTGGGTCTTCGCAGGGCCTAGCGCACCGAAGTCATCAACAGGCCCTCTCGGGATTGGTCGCGCGCACGGCCCGCATCCGATGCCACGCCAGAGTGCGTGCGCCCGTCAGTGGCCCCGTCGGGCGCAGTCGAAGGCAGGCGCGCGAGAGCGGACATGCTGACCCTTCTTCGCCCCGGGAGGAGACCGCACTCGCCAATGACCAGGCGGACGTTGGAGACAACGATGGCGGGCCCGGACCTCCGATGCCTTGACTGTGGGCATCGCCCGAATCAGTGTTTCACCAGGTGGCCTGACCGAGTTACGGCCTAACTAGCTGCCTGGTCGCCCCCTCGAGTTGGCCGTTGTTGTCCGGGGCGGCCGAGGGCGCAATCTTTTGCGTAAACAGCAGCAGGCCGATTGATGTTCGACAGCCGATGGCGCCACCTATGGTGCATTGCTATTCCCTCTTCTCACTATCTCGCCCTCCTGGTCGTATGCCTCCTCTCCCGCCTCCTCGTCCTTTTCCTCCTCCATCTCTTTCAATAGGTGCCTCCTCCCTGTCGCGCGCCCAGACGTGTCGCTTGAGCTTTCATCAACACTTAGAGCCCTGAGGCTTGAAATTTGCAACTGTTACCAGGACGGAGCACAGGTCGTTTTTCAAATGGGACTCTCGCCCTAGCGCCGCGCACATTCGTCTCACGTAACAGTTTGCAACAAGGATGGACGGCGGATGGTGTTCAAAGTGGGGCTCTTTCCTCGGTGTCGCGCTCCATCATATCTTGCCGAATTCCTCATTACGCGCAAGATGGATGCAAGGCAGTTTATTTCCAGAACGGGAATCTCGCCTGAATGGCAGACCCATTGGGTGCATGTCTTTCAAGAGGGCGCTTCTTTCAGTGAACGGGAAGTATTGCAGGGACTTTGGTAGCTGGGACTTGGAACGGGAGGGTGCATCGCCGATGCATCGTGGGCTCGCTCTGGTCCTCCTCCTCCTCCTCCTTCTCCTCCTCCTCCTCTTCTCCCCTCACATCCCCTTCCCTCCACTCCCTACCTCCCTGATCCCCTCTTCTCCCCTCCCCTCCCCTTCCCTCACTCCTCTCCCTGGTACCCACCTCCCCTACTGAGAGTGCCTCACCCTCTTGCCCTCCCTCTCCCCTGCTCTCGGTCCCTGCCTGCCTCCCCTTCCTCTTTTTGCGGGGGGTCTCCGGAGGCCCCCAAGAGGGCCCGAAGAGGGCTCCGCCCGTCAGAGCACAGCTCGGCTTTGGAGGCATCGCGGTTCTGTTTCGGAGGTTGATAGACCTCCTACCCTGACACGTCGGTTAGTGAATTGGCCATTTCGGGTTCGCGAGAGGGCGTCGTGGCCGTTATTTTTGCGGGTCCAGGCCCGTCGGTTTCTGTCCACTAAAGGGAGGTTTACTAAAGGGAGGTTGGTCCACCGCCGATTGTTCACTCTGCTGCATGTTTTTATAGTTTCTTCTGTGGAGCTGCACGGACTCCCGACTGCAGCATTGACGTGAGACTTCATTGGTCGAATCGGTGCAAGAGAAGGAACGTGCGCTTGGTCTCGGTCCTCCTCTCCTCCTCTCCCGTCCCCACCCTCCCATTTGCGAGCGGACGGAGGACTCGCGGGCCAGCCCTCGTGTCTGCGGCCAGCGTCGCGCGCAGGTGGCTGGCGCGAAGGGGACGGGCGTCTGAGGAGGCCCCATCAGAAGCCAGGGCGACTTTTCAGAGACGACTCCTAAGAAGCGCGTCTTGGAAGCCCACCCGCCCTCTTTCCAGATATCTGGCAATGCGCTTTAATATGATGTTCAATGCGCGGCCCCACAAGTTCTGATCCCCTTCCCTGGGGTAAGTTTCTTCCGCGGATAATTCTCTGATTCTTGGAAACGCGCCCGCCCTCTTAGAAGCCCGCCCCCCTGGCGCAACCCTCTTCTGCGCGCCACCAATCCTCCTCCCCCTCCTCCTCCTCCTCCTCCTCCTCCTCCCATTTCCATTTTGTCTCAAATCGTTTTGGCTTCAGCTGGGAAGCGAGCTTCCAGCCACCTCCTTACTGCATCCTCAGCCCCTCGTGCCAGCATGTGCATACCTATACGACCACCCTTCGGGTGATAAGGAGGTTGTGGGGGGGTGGGGAGAGGGAGGGAACCAACATCTGACTCAATCGATCTCGCTATCGATCTCACTCAACGGGACACCACGGGACACCACGAGACACCGCGGGACACCTTTCGATCTCACTATCGGTCGCATGATCGATCTCACTATCGATCTCACTCAACGGGACACCATAGGACACCACGGGACACCACGGGACACCACATCGATCTCACTATCGATCTCACTCAACGGGACACCACGGGACACCACGGGACACCTGTCGATCTCACTATCGATCTCACTGTCTATTTCACTTTTGGGGACATCACGGGACACCACGGGACACCTCGGGGCACCACATCGATCTCACTATCGATCTCACTATCGATCTCACTCAACGGGACACCACGGGACACCACGGGACACCGCGGGACACCGCGAGCCACCGCCGGACGGACGGACGGGCGGGCGGGGCAGAATCATGTGTCTTGACTTCGCCCAAGCAACGGCGGACACCACGGGACACCGCGGGATACCGCTCAAGCCACCGCCAGACGGACGGCGGAGGAGAAACATTTGTCTTGACTTCGCCCTAGTAACGGCGGACACCACGGGACACAACGGGACAACACGGGACACCCTGGGACACCGCTCAAGCCGCCGCCGGACGGACGGCGGAGGAGAAGCATTTGTCTTGGCTTCGCCCTAGGAACGGCGGGTTCATTCCTCTCGCGCGCCCACGCAGCTTCGCCTCGCCCGCACGCGCGACACGAACGAAACGAAATGATTTCCCAGTTGGGGGTCTCCGTTCCACTGCGATCTCACCCCCCAACCCCCGATAACATGATATAACATGATGTCGCCTGGATGCGAAAGGCCCCAAAGGATTTGGCTTCACCGGACAGGCAATCTGGAAAAACAGCTTGAGATAAACGAGATAAACAATTCAGAGATGTTGCGGCTCCAGCATCAGGTGAGAGTTTCTCCGCGTCGGCCGCGTGTGGTGCTGGATGGGTTGATTTCTGCAGAACCCGACATAAGCACATTTAACCCAGACGCAATAGAGTTCGCTCCGACGCCTGCCGGTACAGAAAACGCATTCTCTACGGTAAGGCCTAATTCAGCCTTGTTCCAACAGTCCGTAGGTTCCCAAGAGTATTACCAGGAGCACTTCAAACATATCGATGTTGTTGGCTTGCCATCCCTACGCAAACGCTGGGAAGTTCTACATGAGTGTATTCCTGTTTCGTCTCGTCTCACAAGTGACGAGGGTGTTGTCGAACTGTTCCCGACGCCTGGCGGCACGGAGTCCAAGCAACAAGATCTCACCAGTGATGTTTCTGCTTTTGGTCGTGGTGCAGGTTCGAGTATTCACGAGGGGGAGGATGTTGTCACGCGTTCCGCAGGGCCTTGGTTCTTGGCGCCCCCTCTGGGATCCTGGCTGTCTCGGAGACCATTTCTTCCTTTGGGGAACTTGCACGCCTTTGTGGAAGAATCTTTGGATTAATTTTGCGCTGCTGCCGAAAAGAGGGTCTTCGCTCTGATTGCCCAGCTGGTCCGTCGTAGCCCATAGTGTGAGAGTAGTATCAAGTTTATTGCTGCTTCCCTCACAAAGATGGGGACATATGGTATTGATAGAACTGCAGCGAAAGCCAGGCGCATTACGCACGAAGAAGAGGAGATGCGAGCCTATCGCTTCCTAGCGTGAGTGGGCCAGCATAGCGACAGACAATCCCGCTGTTAGAAAGAAGGTGGCCCAGATTCTGAGAGATATCGAACGTCACAAGGTAGATGTGGGAGATTATTTGACCCGCCGTCGCAAGCAGCACATTCGTGATTCATTGCTCTGTGAAGTGGTGCCTCAGATAGTGCAGACAATCGCCGCGGGAGACGTGGAGGGTACCTCCTACTTGACATCAAACCTTGCCTCATGATACGTTTGTCGTCTCAGTTTCAGGCATGTTCGAAAATATTGAAATACACTTGCTGGAATTTGCGTCGCCTTGCGTTCCGTCATGTTTCTTCCAATCGATCGCAAGAAGAGGCTTCTCTGAGCTGATGCGCGTGCCTGTCATACTCGTCTTTGCCGCCGCTGGGACCGAGCTCTGCATGTTCGTCACACCACTTGTGGTCCCCTCTCACAAGTGAGGACAGGCAGTTGTGCATCTATGGCTTTCAGGTGGTGTTCTCAGGCTTGCAATTCGGGCTATCACGCCGATCGAAATCATCTGCCCTCCCTTGTTTCCCCATCCCCGCCCTCCGACTTCCCTGTGTCTCGCGCTCGTCCCCTTCGGCGCTCTCGGCTTCCCGCTCCCACGCCTGCCAGCAACCTGCTCGCCCTTCGCCCATTCCGCAGCCTGCCGATTGCAACAGTCGGAAGGTGATCATCGAACATTCGGATTTTTCCCCAACTCATCCGAGATGCAGTGCCGTATCAACCATGCTCCTCCTGCCCCCTCCTCCTCTCCCTCCCCCTCCACCCCCCTCCCTCCCCCCTCGCCGCTCCCCCTCCTCCCCCTCCCCCCTCCCCCTTCGGAGCGGGGAGGGGGGAGGGAGGGGAGTGGAGGGGAGGATGGGGGCGAGGGAAGGGAAGGCGGTGGAAGGGAGTGGGGGCGGAGGGAAGGGGGAGGGGGCTCCCCCCCACCTCCTCCGACCTCCGCCGCGACCGATGGCACCCACGCCCCGCCGGGGCTGCGCCGCGGCGCCGACGGCGCCGGCGGGCCGGAGCGCCGAGGGGCCGCCAGGCGTCGGTCGCGCCTGGCGGCCGCGGCCTCGCTGGCAGCGGCTGGCGTCGCGCCTGGCGGCCAGCGCGGTCGCTGCCGCGGCGCTGCGCGCCGCGGCCTGGGCCTGGACCGCCAGTGGCTTCCCAGACGTGGCCTCCCGATCCGATTCGGCTCCGATAGTCCGACGATCCGGTGCGACCCGGTGCTTCCAGAGCGCTGTGGTGCATCCTGGCGCGGCCGATGCGATTCCGGTTCCGTGCCGATGCAGCCCGCAAGGGGGGCGGCGCGAAGGGTGCGATTCGACTTGGCGATTCGATGCACATGTCGATGCGATGCACATGTCGATTCGACCCGACGCCCATGTCGATTCGGTCCGATTTGCCGATTCGGTGCTGGCTGATCCTGGCGCCCGCAGGGGGGCGGCGCGAGGGGGCGGCCTACGAAGAAGGTGGCGGGGCTCTCTAAGAAGGCAGGGTGATGGGCGATTTTCCACCATTACTACCATAGGCAGGAGAGTGAGGAGGAGGAGGAGGAGGAGGAGGAGGAGGAGGAGGAGGAGGAGGAGCAGGAGGCGGAGGAGGAGGAGGCGGAGGAGGAGTAGGAAGAGGACGCTGACGACGACGGCAACGAAGACGAAGATTTTGGAGGAGGTGGTCAACGACGAAGACGATGATGACGAGGGCATGGAGGAGGAGGAGGAGGAGGAGGAGGAGGAGGAGGAGGAGGAGTGACGACCAGCATACAAAAGAACGGAATGTGCAATTCGAACAACAGTACCGCACGACGCCCGACCAGTACGAGGACGACGGCAACGACGAGCTACCACCACTACTCGGACGATCCGAGCACGGCCCACGTACTCTGAGCCCAAGTACAGAAGCACAAGCAGGACGAAGTGAGCAACGACGACATCGACAAGCACTACGTCTATATCTCCCTCTACTCGAAATATGAGCGCACTCCTGCACCTGCAGAGAAGGACTGGGCACGCACGGTACAGCAAAGCCATTCTACGGTAGCACACTTTCCAGACGTGAGCCAAACAACTATTTCGAACTACTCAAAGGGCGACTGGAATGTGTGGTACAGCAGTGGACCGGCGCAGGCTCACACACAAGTATGCACAGCCACTGGGTTGGGAGGCCAGACAGACACCCATTGTACAGACGCGCCGACTATCGTCGTGACGGACAACCTTATATACCCGACGATACCACCGACCACGACATACGACTACAAGTGATTCTAGACCGAATTTGGGAAAACAACAGCGACATAGAGCACAACAAAGTAGGTCTACGACACCCTCACTACCACAAGGACAGTACGGAGAACCACCTGAAGGAAACGCCGTGCAATATTTACCACCAGCGACACGAGAAACGATTCGAGTTCACAGTCGACGAGCACAGCGGCATCCTCACCAAATTCACGACCAGAATCACCAATACGTTCCTTAGCTCCATGACTAATTCGTAAAACAATATAGTTACAAGCTCCGAGCTACTTTCGCTCATCAAGTTGCTAGCATACGTTCTGGCACGCATCGGGCGCAGCAGCACTATACCCACCGTGGTCTATGTTGATCGTGGACAACACAGATCGACACATCACACCACCTTCAACCTACCAGCAGCCCAGCGACGTGGAGTTACAGGACGTTGGCGACGCTATTAAACACGTGGACAGGCTCAGTAAGAGAGCAACCGCCGCACATATCACAGTATCCACGACCTCTTCCAACACATTTCGAGTTCCAGGCACCTACACCAGACAACCCACCTTGGCCGCAAGTTGTTGGAGGACTTACACCAGCACCAGTACCTCACCTGCAACCTGTGACCAGAAACAGCGACACGACCAAGCCCACGCCGACATCGCAAATACCACGCCCACGCGGCACAAGTTTTGGATTCGAGCCCCCGAAACACATGCGGACAACGCATGTTTCAAAATGCCGACCGACATTGGACCAGACAACCTACGTTACGAAATGGTTCAAGGACAGCTGGAGCGACAGCGACAAGCGGAACAAGCAGAATACGAATACGAAGTCCGACTGCGTAAGATGTGCACAGGACATCTACTACCACTACCGCTGCAGCAGTACATACCACACATCGACTACAGACCAAAGAGAGACCACCAACAAGCAAGGACGCCGCAACCTCCCAGCTATGCACCTGCACCAGTACCCAGAGCCAAGACGCCCACACCCATCGCGCCACCGACCCAGCCAAGCCAGCCAACCATCCACAACCTATGGGGCAACGAAGGATTCGACGCAGCAGCACGTACCCCAATCGCAGACAGAGCAGAAATAAAAAGCCCTCAGACAAAAGCGACGACTGTATGTCCACGAAAAACAATTCTTCCTCACGCCAATTCTTCTTCACGTCGCTACCACCACATTGCAGGCACGACATGCACTGCCCCGTCGGGTGGGCGGCGCATAGCGCCAATGACATCGAGGACGACGATTACGACGAAAACATATGGCATTACGCCGTTGGTTACCACGCACAGACCAACACCTATAGCTACCGCTTCCCCAACGACCATCTCCGTTTACCAGGGTGGCACCGATATTTAGACAAAAACAACAACGAGACGTGCATCCACAACAATCTCCAGCAATGCCTCCCTCACCCGCGTCTGAGGCCTGACCCACAAGCGACACCGCTCTCAACGCTCAAGCTACCACCGGCAGAGCAGACAAAGCATTTGCAGCTCCAAGACGATACATCTGCAGACAACCACCTCTCACCATGGATGCCAGGACCAAGCGACCGAGAACGCCTGCGGCTCGGCAGCGACATGTTGGACTTCGTGAGCCACTGCAGATCCAACGAGGAGTTCAGGCTAGCAGTCATCCTTACCAGCGGACACCTCATTACACGAATGCAGGACCCTACATGGAGGATGCATGAGGCGGTTACTCAGGCGACACCCATTGTCTCGCAATGGCTTTACTCTTGCCGCGACTACAAGGACGGCGTGAAATACGATCGGCAGTGCGCATCCGCGACGCAGCGAAACTACTGCAGCAGATTTTCAACCCAGCTTACGAGCCCAACGACGACCAGTTCAGAATACACACGCACACCAATGAACACCAGCTCCAGCGACGACGCCAACGACTACCCCATGCAGCGCAATACAAATCACAGACGCCGCGGCCCACGCCCGACAGCCCCAACGACCACCCAACCAGCACCAACTATCCAGATGCAACAAGCCCACTGCAGCACGCCAACCAACCACAGTCAACCAGCAGACACCGACGCACCACAACAACCAACACCAGCACACAGCACTTACACATTCCAGCAGCTACCCACCCGCGCGATCAGAAGCCCGATGCGCCCGCCTCGGCCTAGCGCCAGGACCCCAATAGTGTGCCCATCGCCAGAAGACGCCAGGGCGCAACAATTGCTCCACAACGTGCCGACGCCAGAACTGGCACCCCAGACGCACGCCACCGGACGCCTACTTTCCACCCAAAGCGCCGCCGGCCCATCTCTAGGACGGAAATGCAGGGCCCGCGCCACAAGTTTCAATCGTGGACCATCTAGGACGCATTTCCGCGCACAACAATAACAACCCAGGTTTTTTGGACTGCGTCGGAACCGCGCGGAGCCACCAGATGCAGCATCAACAGCGCTCAGCTGAAGTACAGCAGCGGCACTTACGACACTCAGAGCTTCCACAGCAACGAGCGGTACCAGCAGCGCAGGCCCCTTCGGTACTCACGGCCCCGCCTGCGACGATGCCGACTCCTCCTACGGGATATTGGAAGGAACGCCGCGACAGGTGCCGCTGGACATTGCACTCGGCATTGGCGCATTATTTGGACACCACCTCTCACGACATTCACGACGGCCACCCTCTGAACATCAGTCATCGCAGAAGGACAGTTTTTGAGGAGCAGCCATCCATTTTCACGGCATGTTTAAAGTGCCAGGGGTCCTGCTTCATCGTCGTTCGTCTTTCCACTTCTCTCCTCTTTCCCGCTCCTTTTGCGCGTGGGCCTTTCTCCCATTGAGGGCCTTGCCTCGCGGACAGCGGGGGGCCCTTCTCCCCCCTTCAGGGGTCGCGCCTCGCTGGCTGCTGGGGATGGCCGAGGCCCTGCTCCTCCGCTTGCGGAGGCATGGTGCCTCAGTCTTCGCCTCTTCCGGCGCGGTACTCCCCTTTTCTTTGAGATTGGTTGCCTCTCTCCTCGTCAGCTCTTGTGCATGCACCTGCTCGTTCTGTCTCATAGGACCATGTGCTTCTGACTCAGCAAGTGTACCGTATAGGCCACACATCGGGAGCCAGCCTCTCAGCGCATAGTACCTCACCGCTACCATTACAGGCGGCTGCAGCATGAGAGCACAGCAGCGCACTGGCAGCCGCAGCCTACCAGCTGAGGTAGTTAGTTTTAACATAGCGCGGCCACCAACTTAGGCCAGCCACCTCGCATACGCCAGCCTCCGTAGTGTTCCCCGCGTAAGTTAGCGCGGCCCAGTGCCACGACAATGGCTGCCAATATCTTCCACCAATCTTCCAGTTTGCAGCTGCCACCTTTTTCTTCAACCTGACCTTGCCACGGGGATCGGAGCGTTGGGGAGGGGCGGGGAAGGGGGCGTCGTGAAGATGGGTCATGTGGAGGAGGAAACACAGTAAGTTTTAACTCGGCACGGCCGCCAACCTAGGCCAGCCATTTCGCGAGCGCCAGCCTCCAGCTTTTTCTCTGAGTATTGAGTACCGCGACGATGGCCAGCAATCTCTTCCACCAGTCTCTCTAGCTTTAGCTTCCGCTTCACTCTTTATCCTGACCCTGCCGCGTGGATTGGATTCGGGGAGGGCGGGAATGGTCGGGGGGGCGGGTGAGGGAAGACATGGAGTTGCCAGCAGGCGCAGGCTAGGGCGCATCGCCCGCTGCACCACCGCCACAAAGGCGGAGCCAACGCAAAATAAGACAGGTGTTTCGCCCGCTACTCTGCCACTGACCCGACCCCCCCCCACCTTGCAGCGTTGCTTGACAGCACTGTACACGTGGCCTGGCGGCGCCAGCCTAGAGGGTCTGGGCTGGGGAGGTGGGTGTCATGGCGGGGGATGACGTCGGAGCTACCTGCTGCGGTATTG